GGCACCGCGAGAGCAGCAGCAGGTCTATTTTTGACATATTTAAGCATAAGGTTGCATTCTATGTAGCAGCAGCAAGGGGTTAAGGAGAGAGAGGGGCCCTTATAATATAAGAGGGGGGCCAGAGTCCTCCTCCTTCAGTCTCGGTGAGGTTTCTCTGCTGTCTGTACAGCTGAGTTCGTTGGGCGGGCTGCAGCAGCTCCCCCTTTAGGCTCCTCATCTTCTTTTCCTCCGCTTCGTTTGCTGCTGCTGCTGCAGCAGCAGCAGCAGCAGCAGCAGCAGCCTGTCTCTCCTATCAGACACCCCTCCCGCTGCCCCAAACCCGCATCCATGCTTCTCTCCTCTCCGTTGCTATTTCTTCTTCTTTCGTAGCAAAGCCCCTACATATCTCTCGGCATATTCAACTGAGGTAAACAGCCACAGAGGCAGCAGCAGCAGCAGCAGCAGCAGCAGCACTGCTGCTGCTGAGGGGCCACTGCAGCAGGCTTCAGGGTACCTGGGGGGGGCCCCCAAGACAACCCCGGGGGCCCCCTCTGGTGGTTTATAAAGCTATATGCTGATCGTTGTATAGTATAATACAGCCAGGGTGGTGATGGTGGGGTTGCTGCTGTGTGTGTGTGCGTGTGTGTGTGTGTATGTGTGTGTGTGTGTTTGTATGTGTTGGTGCTGCTGCAGTGCTTTACTCGTCGCAGCTGGCGCCAGAGAGCAGCAGCATTTGTAGAGCCATAGACGACAGCAGCAGCAGCAGCAGCAGCAGCAGCAGCAGCAGCGGCAGCAGCAGCAGCAGCAGCAGCAGCAGCAGCAGCAGCGTGGAGGCATCCGGTTGCACCAGGCTTGTCTCATAGGATGCTCCTCGCAGCACAGCCAGCAGCCACAGCCGCACGGCGCTAGGGGCTCCCTTGCAGCAGCAGCAGCAGCAGCAGCAGCAGCAGCAACAGCAGCAAAATGTCATCTCCTCTGGACCCTCCTTCTTTCCCGCGCCAGCGCGGAGGGAAATTCGGGGGGCGGTAGGCCGACTGTTTTTTTTTTTTTTTTTTTTTTTTTTTTTTTTTTTTTT